CAACACGAGGACTTTGAAATGGTGAAAATTATCACTGTGATATATAGTGAAATCTACTTATATCAATCCACACTCAAATCAGTGTATAAGTCCCCAATTTATACCCTCAGGTCATCTATCATGCCTGGGTACATAGTAAGACTAAAAACCAAAGTCAGGTGATCCAGGCAAACTCTCGAACATGAGTAAAATACTAAAAATATACAAAATAAAAATTTTGCAACAGACAGTGCGGCGGTCGACCGACTCGGTCGACCGCACTCTGATACGAGCCTGGCGGGATCGTGCGGCATCTCGTCGACCGCCAGAGCTCCGCGGTCGACCGGCAGAACGTCCGCGGGTCGACCGGTGCGGTCGACCGGGAGGCTATTTTCTGCCCTACAGGTGAGCCAGCGGTCGACCGCCGCGTGACCCCAAGCAGACAGAAACCCAAATCTGGGTCTTCTGTCAGCTACCAAACCTGTAATAAAAAACTTGATTGCTACGATACAAAATCTAAATCATTACAGTAGAAAAAACAATGAATTTTTTAAGAGGTATACTACATTCCAATCCAAATACAAGAGAACATGTAAAAAAATGTTTTGGTAACAGTTAAAAATGATTTAACTCTTGTTTTAGGTAATTTCAGATCTAGATCTTATATAAAGAACGTTGAGTGAACTTTTATAACTAAAAACCATTGATTCTTGTAATCCAATTATACGAGAACTCAATTTTTATACGAAAATACCATTTGGGCCTCATCAAAAACTCATAAATCAAAGAAAACCATAGAAAAATAGCGGTGAGGATGGGTGAGATGATACTATCGCCTTAGATGCTGCACAAGCCCTGAAGATTTGATCCTCCTTCGAGTCTAAACCTGCCGAAACCCCCCTTGAAAATCCTCGAAATTCTCAAAATCGCCAAGATCCAGCTAGTTTAAGAGGAGGAGAGATGGGGGCTAGGTTTTAGGTCTCTGATGAAGCAGAGGCTCTCAGGGTTGGATTAGTATGTGTACTTAATCCCCTAACCGACCCAAAACCCGATAAGGCCAAAAACAAAAAATCCGTAAAAGAGCCCAACCTGAAAACTCTCTGATAACTGTGCCGGCGACGACGCCGCGTCGACCGCTACGGTCAGACCGCGTCGTGGCCGCAGCAGAAAAATGCCGGCTGCTAGGCATTTAACATGCTGATCATTTCACTCGATTTCTCTCACATAGAAACATTTGATGGGGTCTCAAACACAGATAATTACGTTCATCTGATATATATATGTATATATATAATTATTTATCATAAGAGAATATTCACTATTAATAATTCACATATATTTATTATAGCAAGTTTCGGGGTTTTACACTCATCCTCCCCGTTATGATCTAGTTCGTGTTTTTGGTTGTCGATGTTTTGTTCTTCTGCCATCTCACGAACGTGATAAATTGTCTCCTAGAGCTGTTTCTTGTGTTTATTTAGGAATTAGTTCAGAACATCGAGGTTATTGTTGTTATGATCCCGCGACTCATCGAGTTCATATATCTCGTCATGTTCAGTTCGAAGAGGATTCTCCATATTATTCTGCTTCTGATGACTTTAATTTCCTCCACTCTACTGATCATGCTTCCCCGTCAACTGCATCACCCACTTCTTCACCTCAATTTTCCTTTCGAGATCTCCCTGACATCTCTCCCTCTCCTTCTGTTGACTCTTCCTCACCGGAGTCTTCTCTTACACCATCTAATCCATATCCCGTGGACACAACTCTCACTCCAGAAAATACTGTTGATCTCCACGCACCTACGCTAGTATCTCCCCCGCCTGAGGTTCCTCTTGTTCTTCGTCGAGGCAAACGCCCACATGTCATGCCTGCCCGGTATGCTTCTGTTACTTCTTATTCACCTATCTTTCATAACTTTCTTACTGCCATTCATACTATTGTTGAGCCAAAGTCCTTCCAAGAGGCAGTTTAAATTCCAGAGTGGCGACAAGCTATGGCTGAGGAATTTCAAGCATTTCAGCAAACTCATACCTGGGATATTGTTCCCTGTCCTCCTGGGATCTCTCTTGTTGGCAGTAAATGGGTTTATAAGGTCAAGTTTCGTCCTGATGGCACCATTGAACGTCGAAAAGCTCGTTTAGTGGCTCGAGATTTTACTCAGCAACAAGGTATTGATTATGAGGAGACCTTTGCTCATGTTGCTCAGATGCTCACTGTTCGTACTCTCCTTACGGTCGCTGCTGGTCATCGTTGGCCCTTATACCAGATGGATGTCAAAAATACTTTTCTTCATGGCTCTTTATCAGAGATCGTATATATGCAACCGCCTCCAGGGTCAAATATTCCTCCGGTTCATGGCTCTTTATCAGAGATCGTATATATGCAACCGCCTCCAGGGTCAAATATTCCTCCGGGACATGTATGTCTCCTTTGTCGTGCTGTTTATGGTCTCAAGCAGGCACCCCGCGCTTGGTTTGAGTGTTTTCGCGATGTCGTGCTTAAAGCGGGCTTTATAGAAAGTCATCAAGATGCTTCTCTGTTTGTTCGCACTACATCGCGTGACAGAGTTTTATTACTCATATATGTAGATGATATGATCATTACAGGTGATGATATGACATGTATACAATACGCAAAATCTCAGTTGCAACAACAGTTCCACATGAAGGATCTTGGATCTCTTCGGTATTTTCTTGGTCTAGAAATTTCTCAAGGCCCGCGGGGTGTATTACTGTCTCAACAGAAGTATCTCTCAGATATTCTAAATCAAGCTGAGTTAACTGATAATACAACTGTCGATACTCCACTCCAGCAGAATGTCAAACTTTGCTCTACTGACGGTGAGCCTCTATCTGATCCTACCCGATATCGACATCTTGTTGGTCAGTTGGTCTATTTGTGCATCTCTCGACCAGATATCTCTCATGCTGTTGGTATTGTCAGTCAATTTGTTAGTGCCCCACGTTCTGTACACTATGCTGTCTTATTACGGATTCTTCGGTACCTCCGGGGTACTAGCACTCGCTCACTTTTGTTTCCTGCTACATCTAAGTTAGAGCTTTGTGCATATTCTGATGCTGATTGGGCTGGTGATCCAACTACCAGAAAGTCTACCACAGGTTATTGTATATTTCTTGGTGATTCCCTTATTTCCTGGCGAAGTAAGAAACAAGATGTTATTGCTCTTTCCAGTACTGAGGCAGAATATCGTGCAATGTCCACAACAGCTAAAGAGATTATTCATCTTCGTCGCCTTCTCAGTGATTTTGGCATTTCTGTTACGACTCCTACTCCTCTCTACTGTGATAATAAGAGTGTCATCTAGATTGCTAATAATCCAGTATTTCATGAAAGGACCAAACATATTGAGATCGACGCTCATTTTGTCCGTCACCAAGTTATCAAGGACAAGACAATTCTACTTCCTCATGTTTCATCCACTGACGAGCTTGCAGATTTCTTCACAAAGGCTTTACCTGTTCATCGGTTCCAGTTTCTTGTACGCAAACTCACTTTGTTTGATCCAACATGAGTTTGAAGGGGGCTATTGATAATAGTGTATTGTAGTGGGTTTTAGTCCCACATTGCTTGGGAGAACAAACCGCACACTCCTCTACTTGTATAAATATATGTGCACACTCAATATTCAATTTAAGGGAAATTTACCCAAGATTCTCTCTCTCTCTCTCTCTCTCTCTCTTACTTTAACAACTTCAAATCATTGAAAGTGCTATTCGGTCCCTCTATTATTAAGTTATTTTAAAGTTAGTACCTTATATCATTGAAATTGCTATTAGGTCCCGCGATCCTCACAAGTTATTTCAAAACTAATCCCTCTAATTGTCACTTATACTATCGATTTAAGGGACTAATTTGAATTAATTTATGAGAATTGAGGGACCTAATAGTTATTTCAATGATTTGAGGGACTAACTTTGAAATAACTTAAGAATTGGAGGATCAAATGGCAATTTCAATAAAGTGAGGAGCCATTTCAAAATATTAAAGGTAGAAGGGTCCTCCCCTCGTTTTGTTGCCTTCCAGCTCTTACAACGCTGACTGAAAGCCGTTCAGTAAGCTTTCCTATCTCCCGGAGAAAGGTCTAAGGCCGTACTCAAATCTAGTTTTTGACTCGTTGAGACTGAACTTTATATGCTTTAAGCGTATAAAGGCGCATAAAGGGCGAGGGACTATTTTTCATTTGCATTATGAAATTTGTTGGCAAGTCAGGCCTTCCTTGAATAGGCGTCCACCGTCAAAGCCTAGGTCTTCAAGCTAGTCTGAGAAAGAGAGGTCATCCGACGTCTGAATGATATAGGAATAGGAGAGCCACCGAGTCCTCGTCTTGCAGAAAGTGCGTTCTCCCGCCGCAGAAAGAGTCAGATGATTGTCCCATCAAAGGCTGAAAAAGCCTACGTGCCTTAGTACGCAACAAAGGCTTCAAATACGGAGTGTGTTAGGTCCGGATAGGTTCAATCAAAAGAAGCAGGAGCTCGAAAGACGAAGCACGCTTGCTCATTCATCCCATTATGGACAGGACCCTAATTATGAAACCTTTTTTGGATTCCATCGCTTCACCGAAAAAGGATTGCCTAAGATCGAAGAAGCCCTTTTACCTAAGGGATAATTTGAACAATCCCTCAACATTAGGGTGTCATTCAAAACTCCCATAAAGTTCAATCTTTTCTCACCATACCTCCTACATGTGGTATGCAAATAAATAAAATTCCCTTGAGAGAAAAAATCCACAATTTATCATCCGTCGTTTATAGGCAATGCCCCTACCCTAAATTTTAAATGTTTTTCCTCTTAAGTGATTCTTAGTTGTTGCAAAGTACATGTAGGGGTCCAGTGAGAATGGGTTAAAAGTTTAGAGAGGTTTTGTGAAACTCCGCAAAGTTTATGCGGTATTATGTGAGATAAATAAAGTTGAGGGTCTTATGTGAAAACAACACCAAAACTTCGTAACGTCTCTCATTTTCTTCTCAGCTATGCAAATGAAACCATGCACACAGCAATCCGAGATGACAAATATACAAAAATTGTGTCACCGCCCTCAAAACGCCATGAAACCCTCCACAAATAGATACCATCCATTTCCCCCTTTTTTCTAGGGTTTCAAAACCTCCAACAAACAGAGAGAGAGAGAGAGAGAGAGAGAGAGAGAGAACAATGGGAGGAGGAGGAGGGGGATCAGAGAATACCTCGAGAGAGCTCAGTATAACGCCGACGTGGGCGGTTGCCGGCGTCTGTGCTGTTATCGTTTTGCTCTCACTTCTTCTGGAGACTGGCCTTCATCGCCTCGGACATGTAAACCCTAGCCTTTCAATCTTTGTCTTTTTTTTGAATTTTTTTAATGGTATTAGGGAATAATGGATCTTTTGCGCTAATGAATAGCCCTCGAATCAACCATATGTGCAAGCAAATATGCCCCCAAAAGTTATGTTAAGGAATTAGGGTTATTTGCATTTGGATACACCACCAAAGTTTTCAAATCGATGAGAATTTGATACCTCGAAATCTTAAATTTTCTCTTCACTTTTTCAAAACTCAAAAAAAAAAAAAAAATGATGATAAAAATATTTTCTCATTTACTTTTATGTATTTATACGCTTGAACGTAATTAACGTTAATTTTGTTCCCGGGATATTCCGAATTTTTCTATTAGTTGTTCAGCTGAAAGATTCCCCGTCACCGTTCAGAACATATAATGATATTAAGTTCGGAAGGCATTTTAACTAGATTTTGGGTAGTAAAATTGCATTTACGGTTTATTTGGGGGTATATGGGTAAAAACCCTTTGGATTAACATGGGGTTTCGTTTGTAAAGAGGAACCTTTGTGCGCACAAGTTTCGGGCCAATTGTTTATTGAAAAACTTTCTTCAAGATTGCTTCATATTGCAAGTGAATTGAATGAATTTCCTCAAATGAAGGCTTTTGAACATCAGAAAGGATTTGCATAATTCGTTTTCTTTTAGCAAAAACTAGTTTTTTTCCCATGCATTTCATAGGAATTAGAGTGACGGCTGGGTGCTTGTGGGTTTGCGGAAGAGAGAAGGCGAAGTGACATAGTACATGGACAATTGTTGAATTTTAATAGAATTAATATGGAGATAATGGTGATTGACGTGGGAAAGCTTACAGGTGTAATAGTAAAATTATAAATGTCGTTTCCAAAACTAAAGACAAACAATATGTATTTGGATCCGACCCACCACCAAAAAGTAGTGGAGAGACCGCTACTTTGATTGCAACAACCTATGATTCATGGGATGGT